AGAGGCCCAGTGACAGTTGAGTCCAAGCTCAGTGGCCTGACATGAGATTTAGTGACAGTTCTGGTCAAGATACAGACTCACCCTCCAGCTGTGGACATACTGTCTTCAGTTTCTGCAAGGTGATCTAACAAGTTGTTGGAACTATGGGAAAACTTTCCTGGAGACAAGCTCTCCCTCTAGTCAACCCCACTTTCTACCAGCATGAATCTCTTGGAAATTCTGAGTTCTAAAGACACAAGTGTCTATAGAATAAACCATCCTAACAGGTTGTTATAAGACAACACTAAATTAAATTAACTGTAAAAGGTTATTTTAAGGGAAAATTTTAGACATATATAATGTTCAGATAGAACACATGTGGTTGGAGAGATGGTTCAGTGGCTAGGAACTCAAACTGCTTTTGCAGAGGACCCCAGTTGGGTTTCCAGCACCCATAGGATGGCCTTTAACTCCAGCTGTGTGGGAGCCAGTGCCCTCTTTTGGCCCCCTTGGGTATTTTCACACATGCGCTGACATCTTTATTGTTGCTGTTACTTTATTGTTGCTGTTCTTAAAATTAATGAGACAGACTCATTTGAAGAGAGTGGAGTTGAGTCTCAAAATTCACTAGTTGTATAGCATGCAGTCTTGTTGATATTTGTTTGCAATTTTATATGTGCAAATTTTACAGTATTAAATAGAAATATAACTTGTCATTTCCCTGACTCTTGGCTTATTCATTTCTTAGTCACCTCTGTTCCAAGGAATTCCTCTTTACTGCTGTCCCCAGAAAGATGTGCTTTCTTGCTTTCCTATTTCTTTTTTCTGTTTAATCTTTGAGACAGGGACCCTTTACATAGCTGTGACTGTCCTATGTAGACCAGATGGGCCTTGGACTCACAGAGATCCACATGCCTCTGCCTCCCTGGTGCTGGGATCAAAGGCATGTACCACTATGCCCTGCCCACTGTGCCCTGCCCACTATGCCCTGCCCAAGCACATTTCCTAAACAGACATTCAGTCACTCTGTCCTCTTTGTTTTTTTTTTGTTTGTTTTTGGTTTTTTTTTGGGGGGGGGATGCGTAGTCATGGTGAAGAGTCTGTGCTGTGTAGTGTGTTGGTTCTAGTTCTGCCGTCCCAAGCATCAGAATGTATGCCTCTTCCTGCTTGTATCTTTGTAAATTTAGAGTGCTGGTGGATTTACTTTGAGTATTTCAGAACAATGGGATACTCGTGATCAGTCCTTTAAACGGCCATTCATTTTATAAGACTTGACAGACAGTTCAGGGAAGCAAGGGTAGGTACAATTTGATTTTTGACCCTTCGGGGTATATTTTGTTTGTTTGTTTGTTTGTTTTCTTTGTGTTGCTATCAAAAAGTTCTTCAAGCCAGGTATGGTGGCACACACCTTTTCTCTCAGCACTCAGAAGCTAAGGCAGAATTGGGAGTCTGAGGCCAGAAGGCTAAATGGCAAGATCCTGCTTCTAAAACTTAAAAACATGTAAAAATTCTCAAATTAAACATGTCAAGTTGATGCCTAATATATACATATGCAGATGCACACATATACATATATATGTCTAAATCTAATAATTATAGTATAATCAAGTTTAGTTTTGATTAAAGATAAGTTTCAGTAAGAAGATTGATTTGTTTGAATAAAAGGTTGAAATTAAAATTTATTCCCATGTCACGTGTGCGTGTGCGCACGCGTGTGCACGTGTGTGCGCACACACAGAGGGAGAGAGAGAGCATTGCTGCTTAATAAAGCAACATATAGTTAATTGTCTATCATAGAGAAACTATTTCCTGAAGTGCAGAAGGTTGGAAAAGCTTCTTAAGAGTTTATATACAGTAGAGCATATTTGGCTCGAAACATTAGGTATTTGTCTCAGGGTTTTTATTGCTGTGATAAAACACCATTACCAAAAGCAGTTTGGATAAGAGAGGTCTAGTTCATTCAGCTCAACAGTCCCACATCACAGGCAAAGGAAGTTAGGGTAGGAACTGAAACAGAGACCATGAAGGAATGCTATTTACTGGCCTGCCAACTTGCTTGCTTCTGTCATCCAAAATCTACCTGTCCAGAGGTGGCACAGTTCATAGTGAGCTGGGCCTTCCCACATCAGTCAAGAAAAATCTTTAGTCACAGTACTCAGGAGTCAGAGCAGAGGCAGGCAGTTCTCTGTGATTTGGGGCCCACCTAGTAAGTTCCATAGTAGGGCTACATAAGGACCCTGTCTTATAAACAAACAGATAGGTAGATAAGTATATGAACAGATACATAAATGGAGAAGAGAAGCCCTCCCAGGCTTGCCCACAGGCCAGACTTACAGAGGCAGTTTCTTTATTGTGGTTCCCTTTTCTCAGATAGCTCTAGTTTGTGTCAAGTTAACAGACAGATAGATCCAATCAGGACAATATTTCTTTGGAGAAGAGGATGTTGTTGCCATCCTTGTGGGAACTTTAGGGCTTTTCCTCTAGAACTAAAAGCTGGGCATAGTCGCCTACACTTGCATAATCCAAGCACTGAGGACTGAGACAGGAGGGTTGCTGCAAGTTAAGGGTGCCTTGGGTTGTAGAATGAGATCCCACCTTGAGACAAAAACAAACCAAACAATAGAAACATTCATTCATTCATTCATTAATTCATATGCAGTAGTCTTTAGGAAGTCCTTGTCAGTTGAACTGCACCTGTTTCTTGTGAGCTGTGTGTACCCTTGCTGTGTACTGTTACAACCGTTGGAATCAGTTGGCAGTTCACTTATCACTCAGACTCTACACCCAGAATTTCACAACAGGAAGAGAAGAAAGCAGATATTCCAATGAGGTAGGGTTCCAACGTGGTGTGCAGACACTCTTCTCCTGACTTACTAGTCACAGTTGACTGCTGTGCTCTTCACATGTGTTTGTAGTGTGGGCTCAAGTAAGTATACTTCTGTAATTTTTATAAACACTATACATTTTGTAGATGTTTTGAAACTGTTTTGCTCAGTTCTTTGAAGCTTAAATGTGTATACTTTTGTTTTCTGAGCTTCCTGTTACATGATGAATTGTAGAGTCATTTCTGTAAAATCTGGCACTAATAAGCTTTTAAAAAGAAGCATACAAATTTCATAGCCAAAACTTAGAGATGATACCATGAAGTGAAACTGTCAGTGGTTAAGATGACTTTATGACTCTTAACATATACCCTTATTATGTAAAACCAGGTGTCATAGTCTATGCCCTCAGTCATTCTTGGCTGTTAGGGATGCTAAGGCATGAGGGGCAGGGGTTTGAAGCAGCCTGGGCAATGCAGGGGCACTTGTTACTTTAAAAAAAAAAAAAAAAAAAAGCAGGGTGCAATCAGGTAGAAGTAGTCTAGACTTCTCTTTCCCGGCTTTCTGTGGACACCATACTTTTACTATTTCCCTCATAATGGAGGCAGAGGTATAAGACCTTTTCAATTGGACTCAAAGTGATTGACATAAAATAAGATCAGTAGACTATACCTAAAAGGAAATAAATATAGAACACTGTCAAATACTAATCTAGTTTGTGCTTGTCTTGTGGGGATATTCAACTTCTTTTGTGTAATGACTCTCAGATTGCTTTCTTGTGATACCTTTTAGCATCCATTATTCCAGATCCCATTCCAGGATGCAGTACTCCAGAATTGTTTATCTGAGAGAAGGAGATTCTTGGCTTACACAAGTTATTCCTTCCCTCCTGAAGCCTTTTTTTTCTTTTTTGCAATATAATGTTAGGAATTTCTGTTGACTTCAGCTCAAAGAAGAATGTGCCCATAGCAAATGTATTGCATTTATTTATGATGGAGTATTGGTTGCTTAAACCACCTTTTAAAAACTAATTTTAATAGAATCCCAGCTTTACAATAAGATCAATTTGGAACTTTATAAAAAAAAGTTAGTTTGTAAAGGAATGTAAATATACTCAAAAGGTATGTGGGTGGTCTAAACTCAGTCATTTGAGTTGTGCTCATTCAGAACAGTGACTTCAGAGAAAGCCTAGGTTAGACGTCACTGCAGTGAGGAGCACTGACGGCGAGCAGCTGGCAAGGCTGCTGCTCAGGGCGCATTGCTTTAATCTGAGACAACTCTTGTGCTTCCTGCCTCATCCTCACAAGTATCTGTGATGTCGGGATGCATGTATACTACCATGCACAGCTGAATTTAAAAAAAGAATTTTAACTAAGTTGTATTTATCAATTTTCTCTAGAAAATTCTGAGATTGGCTGCTGGCACATTCTTTAGTTTTTTGAGTTGTATAATCCAGGCTGACCTCGAACTTTTGATCCTCTTGCTTCCACTTATCAGTGCTGGGATTACAAGTGTGCACCGCTACAGCCAGGGTGACAGACAGCATGTTCTCCTCCTCAGAGTGCTTTGGAGAAACATTGATATCAGCTTGTGTAGTTCATACCTTCAGTTCCAGCACCTGGGAGGCAGAGGCAAGTGGATTTTCCTCTGTGAATTCTATGCCAGCTTGGTTTACATAATGAGTTCCAGGACAGTGGGTGACATAGAAAGACAGTCTTTCAAAAAAAAAAGCTAAAGGAGAAAACCCAACAGTAACAAAGTAACAGCAGTCCACTGATGTCGATGTCGTGGTCTACCGCAGACATTCTCATTTAGTTGGTTAGATTCTGTCTTATGTTCTGGGTTTATAAGTTACTGTCTTGAGGGCTGGAGAGATGGCTCAGTAGTTAAGAGCATGAGCTGCTCTTCATAGGACCCAGGTTCAATTCCCAGCACCCACATGGCAGCTCACAACTGTCCGTAACTCCAGTTTCAGGGGATGTACAGATGTATATTCAGGCAAAACAGCAATCACTGCACTTAAACAAAACTGTTTTAAAAGTATGTTAAGAACAGTGTCAGGAACTTGTGTTGTTAGCCCAGTCAGTTGGGTAAAGCTGAAAATACCTAAGAAATGAGTCGGTCCAGAGTAAATGGAGCATTGTGGACAGACTATAGCAAATAAATATGAACATTTAACACGCTTTTCTTGTCTTTCAGATTCATTACTAAACATGGGTGCATTTTTGGATAAGCCCAAAACTGAGAAGCACAATGCTCACGGTGCTGGGAATGGACTGCGTTACGGCCTGAGCAGTATGCAAGGATGGAGAGTGGAAATGGAAGACGCACACACAGCTGTTGTGGGTATTCCTTACGGCTTGGAAAACTGGTCGTTTTTTGCAGTTTATGATGGTCATGCTGGATCCCGAGTGGCAAATTACTGTTCAACACATCTGTTAGAACACATCACTACCAATGAAGACTTTAGGGCAGCTGACAAATCAGGCTCTGCTCTTGAGCCTTCAGTGGAAAATGTTAAGACTGGTATCAGGACTGGCTTTTTGAAAATTGATGAATACATGCGTAACTTTTCAGACCTGAGAAATGGGATGGACAGGAGCGGTTCGACTGCAGTGGGCGTGATGATCTCACCTACGCACATCTACTTTATCAACTGTGGTGACTCACGAGCTGTTCTGTGTAGGAATGGACAAGTCTGCTTTTCTACCCAGGATCACAAACCTTGTAATCCAATGGAAAAGGAGCGCATCCAAAACGCAGGAGGCAGTGTGATGATTCAGCGTGTCAACGGCTCACTAGCAGTGTCGCGTGCTCTGGGGGACTATGATTACAAGTGTGTTGATGGCAAGGGCCCTACAGAACAACTTGTTTCTCCAGAGCCTGAGGTTTATGAGATTGTAAGAGCGGAAGAGGATGAGTTTGTCGTCTTGGCTTGTGACGGGATCTGGGATGTGATGAGCAATGAGGAGCTCTGTGAGTTTGTTAAGTCTAGGCTTGAGGTGTCGGAAGACCTGGAAAATGTGTGCAATTGGGTAGTGGACACTTGTTTACATAAGGTATGTAAGCTTTTGTTGTTTGAACTAACATACTATTGATTTCGAAAAGACATGGTAAGTAAATTTAAGCAAACTTAAAATTGTATAATTTTTACTGTTTTTTTGAGAAAACTCCACATTCTCAGATACCTTCTTCACGAACATTAAATTTAATCTGCCCCAACCTTCTAATTTGAAAATTAAGTGAAACAAGTATCTTAAATTTATTGAGCCGGAGTGTTTTATGGCTTGTTGATATTTCAGAAGTTGCTATATAGAACAATGACTTCTGACCCAAATCCTTGGTGTTGACAATAACCATACTACTCAGGATCTCAGATCAGCTGAAACCTCATATGTAGTAGAATTCTATTACACTTACACTAACTTATCAAGTACTATGGAAAATGCTGGCACATTTACCAGAAGCTACATGAAGTCGGATTGTATTCTGATCTAAGTAGCAACTAAGGTAGGAGCTGAGAAGAATGAGTTAGTTGTCTTTCATTGTCTGTCAGTAAGATCTAAGATGAGCTTACATCTAACCGTAAGCAATATAAGGGTAGTATATTACTTACATAGAAGATAATTGAAATTCTTTTCATATAGATCTTATTATCTCTTATTAAAGTCTTATGAAAAATGTGATCTTATGAAAGATTCTTGTGAAATTCCCATGATGTCTGAATTGTAATTTGATGCAATAATAGCAAAAAAAAAAAAAATGTAAATTTTAATTTGGTTCTTGGGCCGGGGCTTGTGCTCTACACAGGTACCTATGGAGGCAGGTGGATCTCTGTGAGTTTGAGGCCAGCCTGGATCTGGATCTGATCTGGATATGGATATATATATATATATATATATATATATATATATATATATATATATTTTCATTCATTCTCAGGGAAGGGAAGGGGAGAGAGAAACGAACAGAAAATGAGTTTCTTCATGTGGATCTTTCAGCAGTGTCTATAAAGAAAATATTTAAAGTTGAAGTTCACTGGTATCTAGATATGTGACTTCTGTGTTCTGGTCTTGAGTTGTTGAGACAAACTGACCTGTTAAAGAGTATCATGGTATGATGCTGATCTGTCTGCTGGGTGAGAGAGAGCTTTGCTGTTCCCTGTCACATGTACGTAAGAGCAGGCATAGTCAGCAAGCCTGTGAGAAGGGTGTCTGTAGCCAGTTAGATGCTCAGAGGGCAAATGTCCATGTGGTAGAAGCAGACACTGACTCCCACAGTTTGTTCTGTGACCTCAGTGTGTCTTCCTCCTCTTCCTCCTCCTCCTCCTCCTCCTCCTCCTCCTTCCCTTCAGTAAATACTTTTTTAGTGCATCTTGGTCAAGAAATGGAGAGAAGAAAAGATTTGACGAGGAGGGAAAACGAGGAGGCTCCTGGAAATAACAGATATGGGCGAAACCCTTTTTACCATAAAGTGAGAAGAGCCAGTCTCGTAAAGAGACCATGAGACAGACCACACCACCAGCTTATAGGATCTAAATGACAGTACTTCCAGCTTTTCTGATAGTGAATTTTTGCTTAGTGTATCTTTTTTACTTCTCAGGATGAATTTAGTACAAAAGCCATCAGTGGGTGGCAGTCAATGACCAAATAGGTAGCAACTTTAAAATGTTTCCTTATGCTCTTGAACAGAAAGAGTCTCTGCCTTTTAGCTTTTGAGAGTAAAGCAGATGTGGTTTTCCTTGAGTAAAAGTAGCACTTTCTCAAATTAAAAAACATACGGACATGTTACTGGAAAAAAATCCAGATAAAATGGAAAATTCAAAGAAAATACTCAATTTTTTCTTCCTACCCATACCAGGTACTTGCCATTACTGTATGAATTGTTTTAGTTTGTTTGTTTGTTTTTCTTCTTATGAACTTCTTTTTGAAACTAGATCACCATATATGTACTTAGGTCAGCTCCAAAATCTTCTCTTTATATTACAACTGTGTGCGATAATACATAACCACTTTACAGTGTGTATTTTTAAATTTTTATTAAATATATTTATTTATTTTGTCGTGTGTGTGCATATGTGCATGTGTGTATGTGTGTGCGTGTGCGCGAGCACTTAGGTACAAATTTACTCTCCCATCTCCCAATGCACAAGTGGTAATCAGAGGGCAGCTTGATGGAGTCGGCGCTCATCCCACGACCGTGTCCTTGGGAGTCACACACAGAGCTTCAGGCTTGGCACCAGGTGCCTTTACTTGCTCTGCCATCTCGATGACCAACCTGCCTGAAAGTGTGTGTTATTTTTATTAATTTATACATTAAGAGAATGTATAAAAGCACATATAGTGAACTTTTATACATTCTCTTTTTTCCAGCAATTTGTTGGAGAAAGATCTTTTTAGAGTTGGAAACTTTATCATGACTACATAGCATGCTAGTATTTGAATAAGGTGGTTATGAGAGACTAGCCAGCAATTGACCTAGCTGGTAATTTGGTAAGTCTGTGCTGTTCTTAGCACTTAACAGCTGCATTAGCCCAGTTAATGTTTACAGCGTCCATATGACGGCAGTTGCAGTTAGGGTTGTCATGGTAAATCATTTTTCGGGTTGCCATTCAGAGTGTTAAGTTACAGGTATTAGGTGATGGTCAGGTATTATCCCTACTTAAATTAGTCCCTAAGAAAACAGGCTTCCTGTTTTATTGTTTTTCCTGGTATTTATTGCCAACTAATTCAGATTTCATAAAATATAAAACTGCTATTTGTATGACATTTATGATATATAAGTCATGTATTTAATCTTCACAATAATTGGGAAAAGAAAAATTATTTCTAGTTTACAAGAAATGGAGGTTGATATTAAAAGGTTGTTGTAAGTCATAACGTGTTTATAAAGACCAGAATCTAAGTTTTCTGACGCTTTAGTGATTGTCAGAAAGGATTGGTCATATATATGTGTGTGTACTTTGGTGCTTTCTGTCTGAAAAATTGTTCCCCGATGTGGTGGGAGGGTTTTCCCCCTTTTCCTCAATTATTACAGAATTAGTAGCTATTTTGTAATAAATACAAAGGGCTTTGGAAGTTAAGTACTCATCTTTCCATCTCTTTCTAGTCTCCTTGCGTCCAGTATTTACCACTGCTGACAGCTGCCTCTATATTTCCATATGGTTCTGTTTACTAATACACATATACAAAGCATAGAACTAGGGTTTTGTTTCTGTATTTTACAGAAATAGATCATGATGTGCTTGGTGCTTTTTCTTATAAAAGTATTCCTTGAAATTACTCTACTTTTTTCAAATACTTGATTTCCTTGAATTCAGTTACATACTGAAGCTTATATAAATCAGAAGTTTATTTGTTTAAAAACATGGACTTGATCTAGTCATTGTACAAAATTTAAGAAGGTATTTTTGAAAGGTAAGGTCATTCCGATTTATTCCTACAACATGGAAAATGTACTTTACTGTCCCAAAATATAGTTCTAAATTTCTCTTCTTCCATTGTAAGTTGTAGAAAAATACTTTCATAAAAAGGGCAAAGGTAAACGTAAAATATTGGAGTGGCAGTGTGGTTTGCAATTTCTTTAAACTTTTTTTTTTTTAACATTTATTTTGTGTATGGTGTGTGTATTTGCACAGGAGCCTTAGCAGGTGGTGGTCTAGGGGAACGAATATTAATTGGCTTTCTCCTTCCATCATGTGGGTTCTAGGACTCGAACTCAGCTTGTCAGGTTTAGCACCAAGTGCCTGTATCTGCTGCGTTCTCTCACTGACCCTTAGGACAAGGAGGAGAACAGTAATGATGAGAATACTGTGTGTGTATAAATAAGTCCACGTAGCTGGTTTAGATAAAGAGGTTTCAGGACTTTCTTGGTCATGTCTCTAATTTTTTTTCACAGTTTACCTTAGCCCAGATTGTTACCAATTTCAAGTATTATGGATTACATTCAAACTTAATGAAACTATACTTCATCTTAATATATTATGTATTATAAAATAGTTTTACTTCTTTCTTTTGAAAATGTACTTACCATTGGGACATATGTTCCTGTTGTATACTACATAACCTCTCAAGCCTTGGGGACACTGGACATGGCCTCCCATGTCCTAGAGTACACTGATGAATTAGAAGGATTGGCTTTTATTGTAGCAGCCACCCAACTATCCGTCTGTCTGTGTGAAGACATACTTGGATTCCTCTCTGTAAACACGAACAGTCATCTTTAGAACCAACTGCACCACAATCTCTTTGCCTAAATCTAGATACCCTTATTTATGGCAGGTCAATACCTTCTTTGAGTTAATTTGTTAGTTGTTACAGCTATCTACCAAAGTAGTAGAAAGGAAAAGGTTATTGAAATAAAGTTTCTAAATAGCTATTGTTTTTGTTGTTCAGGATAGAATTTTATAAAAAAAACAAACACGTTTCAACCTTGGTCTTAATGAAAATTATGTTGATTATGCAAGGATAGCCTGTCCTAATAAACAGAAGAAAATAGAATCTTTTTCCGATGCTGTGTAAAAATTGAAACACTTGCACTTTGTGTTTAGGGCTAGTAAAGTAATCTTTTCTTAGAGATGGAAACAGCATTGGAGTCACACATGACTGGAGTACGTGGAAGTGTCTTTCAGTTAATCCTTACAAATGATAGGGTCTATCTTGCATAATTTATAAAGATCAAATGGAACTTTTATAGATAACATTGGTTAGGAATTTTTTAATAATGTTCTTAGTGTTACAAAATAGGAAAAGTTAGAAGGTACTATTTCTAAGTGTCTGCCAACCATCCTATCTGTTCATAAAATTGTTTTAAAAATCATGGTCATGCCGGGCGGTGGTGGCATACACCTTTAATCCCAGCACTTGGGAGGCAGAGACAGGCGGATTTCTGAGTTCAAGGCTAGCCTGGTCTACACAGTGAGTTCCAGGACAGCCAGGGCTATACAGAGAAACCTTGTCTTGAAAAAACAAAAAAATCATGGTCATATTTGATGTTTTGGATCTCTATTGTAAGGTTTAATTTTTTGAGAGTAAAAAATTTTGCTTTAACTGTATTCATATGATATACTTATATGTATATAGTCATATAGCCAAATGCAGCATTTCTAACACAGTAAGTTATGAATGTTGGTGGGTTTCATTCAGTAATAAAATTATTTTGGCCAGTATTAGAGTCCTGGTTTTCCAGAGACTTAGCATAAATTATGTATTTCTGATAGGTCTTCTTACCAAAGCTCAGGAGTCGGTAGAGAGACTGTACAGTCTAATGAAGACCTTTCACTCATTCAAATTTGCTCCCTTTTCATTGGAAGGTGGAAGCAGTTGTTCTTTAAGACTGCCTACCTGTCTCTTTGGTCATATCATGTGGATCCTTAGAAGGTGGCAGGTCTGAGCCACATAAAGTCAGTGTAAACTCTGGCCAGAAGGACTGAAAAGTCTAGAGTGGATGTAACCTAGACTTCTTTCATTTCACTGGGCAAACCTCATCCTCAAACCTCCATTGATGAGTCTTTTAGAATGCTGAAGAAGGGAAAAGCTTTGCATTTCCGAGATTTGTGAAGGAGCAGCAGGGAGAGCATGAGTTTGTGGCCAGCTTACCTCTGTCACGTAGTGAGGCCATCTCAAGGACAGGAACAGAAGCATGACACTGCTAGCAATGGGAAAGCATAGCTGTTTGTTGTGGTAGCATCAGGCAGTCATACAGCTACAGAGAACAGAGAAGGCTCTATTTCTCAGTCCTGGCACTTAGAGTAGATTCTGTACTTCCTTTCTAATTTGTAAGTCCATAATTAAAAAGAAGAAAATTTATTCTTATATAAAACAAACTTGTTTGTTTGTTGGTTTTTTGAGATAAGGTTTCTCTGTGTAACAACCCTGGCTATCCTGGAGCTCACTCTGTAGATTAGGCTGGCCTCTGCCTCCTGAGTGCTGGAATTAAAGGTGTGCACCACCACTGCCCAGCAAAAAGACTGTTTTAACTGGCTCTCTAAAGACCCTGGGATTAGAAAATTGTCCATACTGACCAAGTGCCATATGCCTGTAATCTCAGTATTTGTTAGTCTGAGACAAGAGGATTGCAAATTCAAGGCAATCCTTGAGACTTCCTAAAACAAAACAAACACAGAAAACCCTGGTGCCCAGGTAAAGTTTACAACGGTACTCCAAGCATATCCCACTCTGTGGTATAACTTCAGAACCATTTAGAGCATGAATTTCTTTTTCACGTGCAATGTCCATCAAATTTTTACATTTTCTGTGTGGGTGTGTGCTCGTGTGTGTGCGCGCGCGTGTGTGTGTGTGTGTGTGTGTGTGTGTATATGTGTGTATGTGTGTGTGTGTGTAGAGGTAAAGGACAGCTTTTGGGGTGTAATTTTTTTCCCATGTAGCTTCTTGAGTTTCATGGTAATTTTCAACAAAAGTGTGTTATGTTGATTAGCATGAATTTTTTCCAAATGTTACCTTTAGGATTATATAATTTTGAATGAAAAACAGTTTGGAAGATAATAGGGGTAAAGTTATTTTCATTTCTTAGGCTGTGGACTGATGAGTAAAAATAGTTACACAGAATTACAATCCAAGAATAACTCTATTCGTACTCATACCTAGACACCTTGTACCTTAGGGTTGTATTTTAAATAATTTTTTAAAGTACAAATATCTAAAGTATGCATTCTTGGTGACTAAATAAATTTTAATTACTTTAAGTAACTCTGAAACTAAATAACAATTACTGAACTACAGGAAGCCTGTCCTTTTTCTTTCCTTTGCTGTGCAGGGAAGTCGAGATAACATGAGTGTTGTGTTAGTTTGCTTTTCAAACGCCCCCAAGGTCTCAGATGAAGCCGTGAAAAGAGATGCAGAGTTGGATAAGCACTTGGAATCACGGGTTGAAGGTAAGGCAGTTTCTTTGTTTTGTTCTTGTTTTTCTCCAGGAAGGAAAGAAAAAGTATTCTTTATTAGAAGAATACTTAATTTAAATTTTTCTTAGTGGAAGAAATTATGTTTAAATGGACTTCAAAAGTAAATCTCTATCTGCTTAAGACATGCTGTCTGGGATCAGTGTGTCAGTTCAAGGAGAAGACTGGGTTACTTTTCCTTATCACAGTCTGGATATGGACCCAGAATGGTGGGTATAAAGATGCTCTGGGGCCTGGAAACCAGTATGTAATTTCTTCACTCTAAGCCCTGCTTATATTACCTGAACCAATCTTGTTGTCGTCTCCACCTCCTCCTTCCCCAAAAAAACACTTTGATTTTTATTGTGCTATTAATGCAACCACCAGAGGGTAATGGTGAAGTGAACTGGAGTGACAGTAGTGGGAGGCTGGAGAACTGACTAGTGATGCAGCAGGCTGCAGTTGTTCTCATCTGGGAGATGGGTCCCTGTAACCTGTGGCAGAGCTCAGGGACACCACTTTAATTTTAGTGCCTAGGACTGTCCCACAACAAAAGTTACCTGGTCCAAAACATAAGCGGTGGCTCTCCCCCCATCCCTTCAATAAAAATGCCTGAGATAAACAGTTTAAGGAAGAAAATACATTTTAGTTCAACTTCAGTTTTGGTCCATGGTCTACTGGCTCCATTGGACCTGAAAGAAGCAAGGCAAGAATCTCAAGGAAGCAGGAACATGTTTCATGGACTGTAAAGCAGGGGGACTGGGAGGTGGGTGTACCAAGGGAGAGATTATCCTTCAAAAGCTTGCCCTCAAGTTAGGCATCCCATCATGGTTACCCACTCAGCTATGAGCTGATTGGAGTCTCACAGTTCTCAACTTTCAGTATGTCAGCACCTAGGGACCAAGCCTCCAGCATGATCTAAACCAGTAAGCATCCTTTAGCTCTCAGTAAGCATCTGGCATGCTCTTCTGGCTTCTCTGCACAGTAGGCATACATGCGGAGGCAGGCAAGACACTCATACATGTACCATAAAATCTTTAAAAATGAAATTTAAAAAATTCTCTTTTAAAGTGAGTTAACTGGAGCTGGGGCTGTGGCTCAGTGCTACAGAGCTTACCTCCTGTGTACACAGCCTGGGTAGACCGCTGTCTCTGCTAACAATGGAACAGGCTTTTTAGACTCTGTGCCCATCACTGGGAGCAGAGGCAGGAGGATTTATTTGGAGTTTGAGGACCAACTGGACTATATGAAAGACTGTCAGAAAGAAAAAAAGAAAGACATGGGTGGAGAAAGAGAAAGGAGGGAGAGAAGACAAAGAGGTAGAGTTGAGAAGATGGGGTCTGAAGTTAAAGCACCTGCTGCAGAAGCAGCAAGCCTGAGGATGGAGCTTGGCTGAAAAGCTGGGTGAATGTGGTGGCCCATCAGTGACCATGGGTAGGGATATCCCTTTCAAGCTAGCCAGCTAGTCTTGTGCTCACCTGAGAGCCCCACTCTTGCCTCTTCACCCCCATCCCCAGTCACTCTGAAAAGTACAAAAAAGGTCATTGTACACATGCAAACATGCACATGTGTGCACACACATGGTTTAAAGTGTTTTCTGTAATTACATACAAAAATGGAGAATGTGAAGATTTTATTTTACAAGTACCATGATTCATTTTCTTGAGATTGCTATAGAATGTAAGTATTAATCTTCTTCTGTGATTCTTATGCAGCCATTGGTTTTGTTTTCCTGTAATGACTTTAGACAAAGCCTCACTGTAACTGTCTGACCATAACTCCTCCATCTGGGTGTGAACCCGTTTTGTAGCCTAGGCCATTCTCCTGATGGCCTGCCTCTGCCTCCTGACTGCTGGGCATTCAGGAGTGCACTGCCATTCTCAGCTTGCGTTATTTTTTTGTTAGATTACTTTTACATAAAATTTTAAAAATCTCAACTAGAAAGATTGCTTCTTTGGTCATATACCTATCACAAAAGCATAAGAATTTGATTTCGAATCCCCAGCGCCCATGTAAAAGCCAAGCATGGTGGTCTATCCCAGCAATGGGACATACCATGTAAAAGCCAAGCATGGTGGTCTATCCCAGCAATGGGACATAC